CACATGCAACATCTAGTCCAGCTCCTTAAAAAAAACAAAAAAACATCTGTTGCAACTTGTGTGTCCTCTTACTTTATTCTCATTGAAAAATTTTCCATCAGAAAATTCCATTAGTACCATGATGCCTAAAGGGATTTTCCCCACATAAGTAGACTATACCTGACATTAATACAACAAAACAAAAGATATGAGGAATAACGTGATATGTCTTTTGTGACACAATGTTTTTGTGACAAGTGCAGTTTCATGTAGTATATTTGTCCAATTATGGATAAAAATATAATAATTTAAAATAATAATAATAATAAAATTATTATTACAAAACTTTAGTATGTATTAGCTGCAATTGTATCTGCTCTCTACATTGAAGACCCAGGTTGTCCTATGATGTCGGATCTCTGGACAGCACAAGTAACAATTAAAAGAAAGAATTTATGAAATGATACTGTAATGCAAAAATGTAATAATGTATTATTTATATTGTAAGTAAAATGGTTGTATTTGTTGAACTAAAATTACTTTATGCTAAATAAAATCTTTTTTTTTTTTTTTTTTTTTTTTTTATGTAATCCAGCAAACATTACTGAAGTGCAGCAATGAGAAACTATTGAGAATTACCATAGCGTATAATGGAAAAAAATAAATAATAAATAAATAAATGAAAAACAATTTAAAAATAAGTCTGGTAATGAGAATTTGGAAGGAAATGTGTATATCATAAAACCTCATTCACAATGCAAACAAACAAACAAATAAGTCAGTCAGTCTTTCCTAAAAGCTTGTACCCCATAGCGAGAGGTCGGTGAAGAGGTCACTTGCTAGAATTTGAAGTGTTGATTCTTTAGCCACAGGCCTGAGGGCAGGTCAGCTCTCCCTAGTGTAAGGTCAAGTCACGGCAATGATGTACTGCTCAGTTAGAGACCACATTTCTAGGAACGATTCAAAACAAAATGAACAAATATGAAAGGTATTTAGGAAAACTTTACATTATTACAGCAATATTTTTTGTATAGCTGCTTTGAAGCAATGTGCATTTTGAAAAGACCTGCAGTATACAAAAAAAAAACAAAAAAAACTTGACTATACTCTGAATACAGAAAGCTTCATAGTATTGGATTTTAGACTTAATGTTATTTGAATTTGTCTTCCAAATGTATATGCATTTTGTTCAATCCCAGTGGACTGAATGGGGCTCACCTACAGTATGCATATATGTAAGTTTACCCTCACACACTAGCATGTCATACAAAGGAAATATTGTCATCCACTCCCATGCCAGCATATGCACTCGATAGAGCTGTTTACATGAGTCACATATATTCAGGTGGTACGTTCTTTACCTTGGCGTTGAAACCGTGATCCCAAACCATAGAGGCCATTCATGCTGTAGGGCCCTATGAAATATAATTTCCATCTTTACTTTAAAATAAGTCATTTATTTTCTATTTTGTCTTTCTACAGATCACTCAGAAATCTGTTACCAAGGAAAAGCTGTGTCTTGCTTTTGTAGAGACAGCTTTATTTATTTATTGCGTGGAAGCTCTGTCCCAAATCGGAAAGCTGTCAGCACGCTGGGTTTCCCACAAACGTAATCTCTTGTGGAAATGTCAAAGTTAACTCCATTTCACAGAAAACAGACATTCTGCATTGTGCCTTTCAGACTTCCCATTCATGCGCGCAAGAACGCGTCAGCTGAGGTGGTCATTGTTCATGTCAAATTCTACCGTCCTCCAAAATTCCTTGTCTTCTTTAGCTCATGAGCTTTCCGCCCACGCCTGCAACTACACCACAACCTTAGGCAGGTCTTTGCAGGGCTCCAACACGAAGGCTCTCGGGCCCACAACGTGATCTGTGATTTTAACACCACATCTGGTTTTCAAGCCAAGCTAAACTAATTGAATGGCTTCAATTTGGAGTTCCTGACCACTGTTTGCTGAACATCATGTCCTTGCACAGTGTTCAGAGTCAGCAAATCTGGAGCGAGTCCCTGTACACTCTGGTCGGCTTCAGGCCCTCTGCCTTCTCACAGCGGGTGGATGCAGAAAGAGCTGGCGACGTAACAAATTACCACTCCATGTTTACGCAACAAAGCGTCTGCCCTGCAGAATATCTTGCCCTGACGCAAAAAGTCGAAAGCCCATGTCTGGAAATCTGCAGTACAGTGCAAAGCGGCATGGGTCCCTTTCCTCTCGCCAACAAAAACAACAATTACAAGCAACTCAGACAGCCCAGCTATGAAATAGGGCCTTGTTGCTGAGAAAAGCTAGCAATTAGGGGGCATTGTTCAGCAAAGGAAAGCAGCTTTTATTTTTTTTTTGGTTAGTTTGTCATGCCCCAAAGGTCTGCATGGTTCAGAATGCAACTTCTTATTGATTTTCACTGCCGTTATATCGAGGTCAAAAGCAGGATAGGAGCGTTAATTTCACCGCTCTGTTGGATTCCATCCCCATTTCCCCCTCCTGACATCTGGCTTTGCCTGGGAAGCTGGAAAACATCTTTAATATTCTCATGACAGTAAAGACGACATATGGAAAACATTGTAAAACCTTAATCTGCAATGAAAGCGAGAGAAAGAGAGAGAGAGGCCGGCAGATAGATGCTTGGCTTTCTAATTTGTAGGTTTCAGAAGTTCTTTGGGGTAGCCAGACGGCATACAAGACCAGAGACACTTCGATATACTGTACATCACTCGCTTATTTTTCCACACCTGCCAATAGCTAGTAAGTCAGAACTCCTGCAGGGAATATGCTGTCTAAAGATTTAAAGTGGTAATTCAGTCCAAAATGTAAATTCTGTCATTTACGCACCCTCACGTTGTTTCAAACCCATTTTTTCAAATTTGGATTACAAAGGGTGAATATTTGAAGAATGTCCTAGCCATGTCCTAGAATATCCATATGATTGTGGGTTATATTCCAAATCCTCTGAAGCCATACGATAGCTTTTATTTGGGGGGGTGGTTATAAACTTTTATTGAATTTTTGTAAATTGCTGCTAGACGTTATTTAGCATCTAACAAAGAGGTTGTTTGTCATCTTGGGTGTTCACTGTAGGTCCACGTTTTGGTTAATTTAAAACGCAAACACGAAGTGATTCAGGTTAACTTTATTTCCCAACCCAGGCTCAAAAAAAAAAAAAAATGTGCCTGTGGTGGCATTTCTGCTAAATGATATTACGCTGCTTTTTGCACATTTCGAGACATTTTTAAAGGGATTTTTAAAGGTCCAGTGAGTGGCACTAACAGCACATTTAGTTTTCTCCAAAACAGATGAATGTGCCAATGTTTTTTAATACGTTGGTTGTTGTAACCGTTTGCAAATTAAATAATATAATTAATATTAATTTAATTAATATGGTGAGTGGCACTAAAATTTTAATGCTCTACTGAGCTTGAAAATAACCACCTACCACGTTCACTAAATGCTACCTTAAACCTAACCGACAATGTTAACAAAATAAAACTTGAGCTAAAACCACATATGCTGAAGAAACCATGCCATTTTAGCTTGCTACAAGTTATCATGATTTTGTTTCGCAGTACTTATCTTATGATTTTTTTGACTTGATTAACATGATTAAATTTGCCTCTAAATAAATATGATCAGATCAAAATGTAGTGTGTTCAATTATGCACGTTTTCTCTTTTAATCTATACAGAAAACACAGCAATATGTAGGCCTAAAGATGTTCTATTCAATTTATGCTGAATATTAATTGTTTTACTGAAAAAAAAAGACTTGCGCGGCTGCTTATTGTTCTTATTATAATGCATAGTATAGCACCCAAAAATATGCCTATTATCTAGCAAATATCACTGAATTCAGTGTGTTAGAAATATCACAACTGTTATGTCTTGGCTATAAAAAAGGAACTTAAGGCTTCTGTCATGATTTTTGTTTTGCCAGTCTGAAAGTGTGCTAGTAGATCATTTAAGCAACGTATTCAAAGTTGTTAGTTTGCAATTACCTTAGTCATATAATGTAACAACACTAATTGTGCTCGAATAAGAATAAGAATAAGAACACTGAAACAGTAAATAGGCAATGGAGTCCCCGCCACAGTAAACCCCAATGCGATCTGAGGCCACTTTTGGGTCCTGAGTTTGGTTCTTTCGAGGAGGGCTCCTGTATGTAACTCATGTTTCATAAACTCAGGGAATCATATCAGCAGCTTGACAGAGTTTGTTGAAGTCCATTCGAGTTCGGTAACAGGCCCACGTCTATAATTCTTTGCTAAGCAACAACTTCTGGGTGTTTGGTTTAGCGCTCCAACAAAAGCGCAGACGTGCAAGACTGGCCCAGAACGCATCATTAATTCTCATATGGAAGATTAAAAATCTACAATTACTCTGATTTTGAACATTGTGCAATCCAAACTGCCGCTGTGCAAGTTCATAGAGACAGTAGACGCATTTACAGGTGATTATTTTTTCATATGTGTGAGCTGTATTTATTCAGGACCACTGAAGACTGAGACATTGTACTCAAGGCTAAACCATAGTGCCTCTGCGTGATTAACACTGAATTATTATGTCGCCTTGGGTTCAAACGGTTCTCCTGTTTGCCAAAACCAAGTATCTTTCACATTAGGAAATCTGGATTTGGAAAAGGGAGTGCTGTCCCACCAGAGGTCATTTACGATTGTTATTTCCCATTTCGTGTTATCCCTTGCTCACATTCAACCTTGAAAGAACACATTTATTACATTAAAATAAATCTCCTAATTTACCCTAATGTTTTCCTTAATATGTGATTAACATCCAGACTAGAATTACTGTAGCATCATATTCAGCTTCAAATAATCCCTGGTTAAATGGGACTAAATATGCAGTCCAACAGAAGGTACAGGTGCTCCATAACGTACCAGATGTTCCGTATATCTCCCAGAAAAAGAGTAACATGTAAATACCTTGAGATAATGGACACCATTGTTCTCAGGTTTAACACCCCCTAGGTCTCGTAGGTTGGTTCTCACCAGCCTTGTTCATTTGTGTTTGGCAGATGGGGGTTTCTGTGGTCGACTCCTCGGTTGCAGGCCTCGGAGGATGCCCGTATGCCAAGGGAGCATCTGGCAATGTTTCTACTGAGGATGTTTTATATATGTTACATGGTCTTGGAATTGAAACCGTAAGTCTCGGTTTTCAATATGAATCACTAAGAATTTATGAGAATAAACAATGACACTTTTGGGCACTTAAGTTACACAAAAACTGTCTGAATGTTATTCGATGCAGAAAATCAAAGCAAATGGCATCTGCGGTTAAATGCTGCACAAACTTTTCTCAGAACTGTTTCTGCCAGGACGTTAGACATTACTTTTACAGACATTTCCGTTAATTGTAAAACACAATGCAGTGCAAAATTAAAAATACAGATAAAACACCTGTAAAAAAATGTATGCGGAAAAATCCCTTTCATATAAATACAGTATATTGTGCCCTATTTTCACAGATCTTTTTTTAGAGTGCAGTTCCCCTCGCATGGGAATTCAGCACGTTAATTACTTTTCTACTATCAGAAAACATCTTAATGTCTATTGTATGATTGTAATCCCAACCACCTCTTTATGAAATATTTTGCACAAAATCTGTTTAAAATAAATGCCACTCACTCAGATATTTTGTTACATAATGCAAAGACATGAACACATTTTTATGTTTGACTTTTGCATCCAAATACTTTCTGAGGCCACTGTATATGTTTATACACACACTTCGACTACACTCCCAGTTTTTCCATTACTCAGTTTTTCCCGTTGTCTCAAGTTGTCTCTTTTTGTTTTAGTATATACACAACATTTACAATGGTGTGTGAAAGTGTGTCTGGAGGGTATTATTTGGGTAAAAATGTGGATACCAGTCCTGATATACCTGATATTCTGGTGGCAGCACATTTGCAGTAATTATGGTCTACAGTTTCTCACACATTTTTATTTATCATTTTTTTTATCCACACCCTTTAACTGCCTCCTCTTCTTAATCCTCACACAGATAACATCTCAGAAACACTAACCTCAGGCTTGCAGTTTCTTTTGCTATTGTGCCCCCTGGTGTCTGTTGTGACTGGTAACTCTTGGTGGCTGTTTGTGTTTGTGATGCAGGGGGTGGACATGTTGAAAGTGATGGAAGCAGGAGAATTCATCTGCCGAGCCTTAAATCGTAAGACTAACTCCAAGGTCAGCCAAGCTACTAAAACCATCCGGCCTTTTCATTCTAAGTGATAATACATACAATGTGTTCCAAAAGTCTAACCACATTCAACCAATGTACTGTAAACATCACAAAAATGCTTTCAGACTTTTAGCCTCTGCTAAATGCTTTTACTTTGTTTGCCATTTTAAAAACTGCTGATGCAGTTTTCAAATGAATAATAGCTACAATATACTGTGCCAATAACAGGAAACATGGGCATTTTATGCCAAGAAATGAGCCAATGTCTTTTGTAGTTTATGTCAAACAGAAAACACTAAAAATAGATAGCCAAGAAAATGTGACATGACATGAGGCCCCCCCCCCCCCCCC